GTAGTCCCCTCCCTGTCTGATTTCTAAATATCCTCATACATCTGCTGAGGTCAGAGAACATTCATCACCATCACCACATCAATGTGATGCAGTCAGAGGAGGGCTGTGGTGGCATGACATGCGCTGATGATGTCATGCTTCAATCGGAAACTCCCTAGAATTCACCACTGACTCGTTGTGCTGTGTTGTTGATTTAAATTCAGTTTAGACATTGACTGCATGACTGTATACACCACCATTTGTTCAATGTGTGGGGCAGCAGTCGCCACCCAAATCACATTGCACCATACCAACCCCCCTAAACCTTCCTGTGGGTGGTGAGTCCACTGGAAGGTACCAGCTGCCCTAACCGGGATTTGATCTTGCCCAGGAGGGGAACCCTGGGGTTCCACACCAATGACAGAGACATTGCCTCTGTCAGATACAGTATACTGTATGTAAGCTAATTATCAAATATAACCTTGATTTTTTTTACCCAGCTGACTCAGATTGTGGTACAGGTGTGTAACCTCTAGCACCAAAAACACATTATTTAAAAAAAAAAATCATTTAACAATCAAATCAAAATCAGTAAATTAAGTTTTAAGTACTGTGGATATACCACAGGGCCACACACACGCAAATGTTGGTTAAACGCTTAACTCCCACACCAGTTGACAGCTGGGATTGACTCTAGCGCCCCCTGTAACTTTTTAAAAAGCTATATGCGGCTCAGGAACTATAGTTTGCAGACCTACTGGCCATAATAATGGGTATTGTAGATGGAAAAAAACGTGAGGTTCAATAATGTTATTTTATGTGTAATGAGATTGAAACACAATTAGACTTAATATGACGTTTTTTTATTATCGAAAACCACAACATCATTCAACTTTTATATATGTCAGACTGACATGATGTTTTCTTTCTCCAACAATATTTGAATACATTACTTTCACAGCTTATCTTTATTGCAAATTGCTTGCATAGTGTAGGAGGACAGAGAAGTTGACCGTGATGGATTACAGCTTTGACAAATTCCTCTCTCACTAACCTCCTCTGTGGGATCCAGAAGACACTCTAGGACTCATCAGTTGGACCAGTCTGTCTCTGTCCATCAGAAGATTTTATTTTTAAACAGTAGAGGTCATTAGGCCGTCACTAACAGGGTTTACCCAAAATATAAACACACACGAAACCCCCCTGAATTAGCTTTATTTATAACTGAATTAAATATAAATTGTCTGTCAAAGTGGGTCAAATGTTTGTTTGTGTAGTAGTCAATACATCATTCATTTATGTTTAGTTTAGTTGATGACTTAACAGTAGATTAATAATTTACGCATAAGAGCCATGAATCTTTAATACTTCATTATAAACACATACAGCTATAGTACTGTTCATGTTAACAGCTCCAAGTCTGCTTATAAAAAGTAGAAAAGTATGATTAAAATTTCATAAACGTGTTGTTTTTAATTGTTTATTATTTTATTTGTATCTTTCAGAATCATCAGTCAAGTGCTGGACTCTTGCACTACAGTATCTTTGACATCTTGGAGCAACGACTAAAAGTAGCTCAATGCTACCACCCTGTGGTATGTTTGGGAAGTTGATGCTCAGCCTCAGAGGAAACGTGGTCGACGACTTTCCCTCCACATTGTAACCGATTTCAAATGGTGCTAGACATGATGGAGACTCTAAACACCAGAGGAAAACGGTCAGCCTTGGTGAGAGGGGGTCTGTTGAACAGGGAGATATAGGTCTCACTGGGGGCGTTGTGACGTCACACATATCAGATAAATAATACACAAAGACTCAAACGTTGCCAAATGTGTCCACATGGTGAGAGCTGTTCTGAGGTCTGTTCCTTCTCAAGAACACCGATTTCAAATGGTGCTAGAAGGGATTTAATACTCTAAGACACCATATGAAACCAGTTCCCTGGGGAGGAGGCCGATGGGAGCCAACTTCGAACAGCCTCTTCTGCCATCTGAAATTAGAAGACACAAACATGTTACTGTTGATATTAATGCGCCGGCAAACTTATAGCCAAACTAACAACAAACTCCACAGACGCACAAGTAATGTATTCCAGAACAATCAATCAGAGTGGCACTGCCAAACTGCTTATTGATTTCCTGTTTAAAGAATCATTCTCTGTGAAACATATTTAATTGCCTGTTGAAAATAGATGCAGAAAAATTAACACAATAACATGTTGAATTTGACGGTCCTATATATTATTAATTGTGACTCAATCTTTTGTTATTTTGGTTCAAAATGACCGCCGGGACAAGGCTTAAAAAACAAAACAACAACAAAAAGAATCTCTAAATTCTGCTCATGCCATTCATTCAACCATTCATGTGAAACCTGACGCTGTGCCACTGTTGCACCTTCCTCCAGGCATAGAAATGGAAAGATCAAGAGCTGATTGACAGCACCGAGGCCAAATTAAAGATGAACTACTGAGTCATGGTCAGCACATGTGAGAATGACACAGCGGCTCCAGCCCCTTGCAGTGCAAGTGCATCAGAATCTCTGTATTTGTAATCAAAGCTGCACAACAAACACCACCAGGAGCAAAATGTGGCCATAAAAAGTGAAGAAACTTGGAGGTGACATCCATCTGCAGTATAATGTAAGGGTGACTGTTAGCCCTGGGAAAAATATAGATAAAGATAGACAGACAGATTCTTTACCTTCCTCTGTCCTTTTAGACTTTTTATAATCTTTTTTTAAATAGCAAGCCGGCACTCATTTGAGATTCTATTTGTATCCTGTCACGACTGTGTGTCAGTCAGCACTGTTTCCTCACTGATGGGGAAAATGTGACGTAGCAACTAATCCTAAACCATCATGTGTGCCTCTGGACAATTTCCATGTCTGCCCCTCTTTAATCCTCACTGTCTTGACTTTTACAACAAAGAGCTGCACCTATTACTTCACCTGCTGATAATAAAGCGTGGGCACGTGTACAGCCCGAGGGCGTCACAGGTTTATGGACATTTGTGGACTTTGACCCAAACAGAAGTAGAATCACTTGTTTTTGACCAGTACTTCCTATTCGGTGACTCAGGATGACAGTGGCCTCTGAAGGTTGTCGCACTGCTTTCATCTCTCTTCTCTTTGTTCCTGTCGTTCTGACACTTTGTGAACTATTCTGGACCTGGTGGCTGCCTCGTTTTGCTTTGTTGTTGGGTTTATCATGAGCTGGGGTTTTGTTTGTCTTTGGTGTTTTTGTAGCAACTGCTGCTGCTTGAATCACCAGCTCCTTGTTAAAGGGGAATCACCTCTTTTTGAAACTCATAATAATTATTATATGATTACTACATTCTGGGATGGTTATATTTACAGATGCTTTGATGATGAAGCATAAGTACTTTAAATTAATCCTGAACCTGACAATACAGTGTCATTGTGGTTTCCAAGAATACTCAGACTAGTGAATCCTACTTTGCACAAGGCAGGGCAGGCAGTGAGCAGCATAGCTGTGTCAGAGAGAAAGACACTGGTTTGGTCAGATTATGAGTAGTGATGTAATCCAAGCCAAATTCCTATACATCTGTGACATTCTGTAATAGTAGGAGGTGGGGCTGTATGCACATGTGTAAACAGGAGGTTAATCCTCTTAGAGATTAGAGGTCCTAAATTATCAGTGAGTGAGTGAGAGAAGTAAAGTTGATAAGTTCAAGTCTCTTACAAAAGGAAAAGATAAAAAAAACCTACAAAAAACAGAGCCCATTTACTTAACATACACAGTACACAGCAATGTTTCCCAAAGTAAAACTAAAAACATGTAGTTCACCTGCCTCCTCTGCAGAGGGTGCTATAAACACGGTTTTAATATCCGGGTCACTTTTTTGAGATTTATATTTTTCAGTATTGTAACCTTTTTAAGGTGAAACTCCCTTAGTGTCAATGCTTAGCTTTAGGGTAGACTACAAGCTGTGATCATTTGATTGACCATACTGCCACCAAACTCACATCGTCATTCCTAAGCCAATTGCCTTAGTAGAAGCTACAAAAACACACTGAACACAAAGAGCTCAAAAATGTTCTTCAAACACCAAAAAAAAAAAAAAAAAAAAAAAAAAAAAACAACCCTCACCCAACAACCCCACAAATACCTGTCCAAAACACCTTGACAAGTGAATACATTATGATGTCAATTCTTCTGAACAAAGGGCTGCATTCGAATTCAGGAAACTGTCCAATCCCATTAGCTTTCTTTGACCAAACATTAAAGTTAGCACAGTGCAGTCAAGCAGGTATCACTGCGTTGGCGTTTGCAAACACGGATCTGTATATCAGGCGTCCAGATAAGGAAGCAGGACTCACAACATGTTTGCTCCGCTCCCGCCTTTTAGAGCGGCATGCTTTTCACCACTCCGTCAAGTGTGAGGCGCTTTACTTGGGTGATGCAGGCCCTGCTTGCAGCCATGCCACCAGTCTTTGTGCTGATGCTAACACCAAAAAAGCTTTGGAACTCTGCACTTTGAGTCAGCACAGTGTTGGCAACCATTCTGCACAGTGCATCTCAACGTTCAGTGTCCCTCCACTGCAACCTAGAATGGTCTATTAAAGCACCACTCTTGTTGTCAATCACTTTTTCAGAAGGTTTGACAAAAGACACAGTGAGACAAAATCAAACACCTCTAATCTGTGACTTTAAAAAGGCCCTGTTACAGAGTTGGATCAGTCAGTCTGTGATGTCATGTTCTTGCCATCATTCGAAAAACAGCCGAGGCTGTTCAGAAGAAACCGGAGGACTTTAGAAATAATGCAGGCTGATTTCCCTCCGATTTGTCCCTCACCAGATACTATCTCGGGCTGTTGGGAAATATCATACAAGCTGCTGATAACACCAGAGATTTTATGAGTCAAACGGCGAGAGATAAATGCACAGGTATTGATTGGAAATAAGGTTAGGGCTAAAGTGTAGGATGTCTAATCAGGTTTACAAGAAGAAAAAAGAAAACGGGCCGACATTCTTCACTGACTTAGAAATAATGGAGGGCAAATCACTGAAAGGCCAATAACTTGTGGCACTGCTGCCATGTGCTATACATCAGACTTTCTTTCCCTCCTTCAGCGTGTTAAGTGCCTCCCATGTGATTATACCTACAAATTAATGCTGCCTCACACACGTCTAATAATACATCATCATCCAGCCAAGGCCAGCAGTGCTCCGGGTTTAAATTTAGCACTGCCATCTCTTAGTTCTGTGCCACTTCCTTTTCCATAATCTGCAAGCAGAGAAGATCTGTGTTAAAGGTATCTCTGATTGATTCTGACCTCTGACCTCACAAATTCCCAGTTATCTGCAGAAGCTTTGAAGTGAGTCTAAGGATTGGTTTTAGTTTAGAAAAAAAAAGAAGTATTATGAAAAAAAAATTCTCAAAGAAGAATAAATCTGGGGTGAAATTGTTGAATTTGGGATTCCTGCGACAGACACCACGGTGTGGCCTCGACTTGACAGGCAGCGCCCCTCCTTGGTAGACCAGCAAAATAACTATTGAGGTCACGTTTCTTGTCTGGGAAAGTGGGTCGCTGGTCCTGATGGTCAGCCTCATAAGACACAGTAAACAGTACACTGTACACAGCAGACACAATTACAACAGTGAGCACAGGTTTGGCAGCAGACTTATCTAATGTAACATTAATGTTTGGAAGAGGAGAAGAGAGAGACACAAAAGGTCACGAGGCCACCAGTCCCTCCTGTCTGTAGTTCCTCCCACGACCTTTACCTGTTTGCTTCAAAACTACTACTGACATTCCTTCAGGAGTCAAGTTTCAATTCAGTACGCATAATTAAAGTTCTAAACCTCCCCTTCCTTCCCCTCCCCTACTCACTCTGATTCTCTCTCTCTGTCTCTCTTTCCATTTCCTTGCCAGCAGTTCATTGCTGATTCACCCATTGACCGAACAAATCCACTTGTCCCGAGGCAGTCTTCCCCCACTGAGTACGTCTAAGTGTTACCTGACAGGCTCAGCGTGGCAGGCGAGCACGTCACCTGTCTTTCTGGCAGGTAGGCAGTAGGCGGCACCACACCTTTTTTTTCAAAAGGGGTCATTAGGAAGGCAAATGTACAAGAGGCCTGTGGCCTGCGTCAGCAGCAACAGCAGTGACAACACACCGGGCATGACAGTGTCCTGCTGGGCTCCGGTTGGTGTGCATTACAAGCTCCAGCATAAAGAGGCAGGACTGCTAAATGGGGATAACAAGTCAGAAGGAATGCCACACTACAACTCAGTTACACAAAGCTTTTAAGATTGTAAAACAGGACAGGAAATGCATACAACAACAGTATTTATGTTGTTATCCATCAAAATAAAATGTGAGAGCTAAATGAACAGCAGTTGTTTTCCGTGAAATATGAGCGGTAGTCATTTGTCAACGTCCAACAACTGATGACATCAAGATCTATGTCACCCAACAGCACCCCCTAGATTCGAGGAGAGAAGGTTGTTTTCCTTGTATGAAGTGCGCACTGAGGAGGGAGCTTATTATTCAGGAGCTAGGTGGGATCTTTGTGACGCAGCAAATGTTCTTCTGGCACACGACACGCATAACATCCTGCGTCACAACTCTGTTGTTCACTTTATTTGTTTTTTATTTTTTATATTTTCTAGGACCACACACACCGCACGACTAGACGTACACTCGTCACCATGTTGGGAAACTTTTGTTTTTTCTTTTTAAACCAAAACGACAAGAGTGGATGTTGTTAACGACTTGTTAAAAACACAGACCACGGGGCCGTCAGATGTAAACTGGCCGTGGCAATATGAACTGCGTAACATCGTCCACAGGCAGGATTACGCACTACCCATCTCTTGCGCAGCATCCTATTCGGAGCTCTTCCTTTACACGCCATCCCTTCCGATGCCACACTTTGTTTACATCTCCATTTTAACACCACACTCGTACAAAACTCAACTTTTACCCTCAACAACAACTACGCAGCATGTTTCACAACCTCGGCGGAAATTCCCACTGGATTCGAGGAGGGTTGCGTTTCGCTCCTTCCCGCTGACGCAGTTTTATTTTACCTGTTGTCATGTCGATGATGAAACACTCGTGACAACCACAAAGTGTTTACAGCCCTTTTCCTCTCTATTCCAGGTCGTGTTCGGTTAGAATTTGAGCGCAGCAGTTTTCTTTTTCTTGTTATTCCTCACACTTGCGCCTCTCAGCTTTTATTCTGAACCGAGCGCTCAAGTGGTTATGAATTACATAGTGGTATTCTCTACGCAACATGCGCACCACTCTGTCCTCTTTTAACAAGAAGATTAAACCACTTACGTGTTTATCGTAAGCCTTTTTCTCCTTCCGTGCCGACAGAGTCTCATCCGTGCCCGGCCGGCGCCAGTGAGAGCCGCTCCCGGGTCAACGATCGGTCCACTCGGTTTCCGCTCCAGCGTCACTGTCGCTGTTAGCAATCTCAGTCAGTTACGTTTGACACAGTGTGTCTCCCTAACGATTTTCCATAGCGCAACACGGCAGCTCCGCCCCGGACACTCCCCCGTCCTCTGATTGGTGAAACCGCTGAAGAGTCTTTCCTCATCAGCACAATCACATGTGGCTGACGCATGTTTACAAACATCACTGAGATCACATGGTAATGGCGCCGTTTTACCGTAAACCACCTCCTTCTGACGCAGCGTGCAGATGTCGTGACGAGAGCCAATAATTTAATTATGCACTTTTTTTCCTATTACAGACGATTTACTATATTTATAGTTTTATAAAAAGCTGGTCATGAAAATAGAACTAACAGTAACATAATTTAAAAAGACGTTTATATTGATGTCATATTTGCCTTTTTGTCTATTCAAATCATAAAGCACTTTAGAAAACAGTCAAAAGGCAGCACCATGGCCAGTTCACTGCATTTGTTTTATGTATGCTGTACGGGCTTCTCTAAATTGTTTTTGCTAATAATTTTTTTAAGGTGAGGATTTCAAGGACAATGTTGTATTTTTGTTAAGATGACTCAATGGTAATACCGCATTTCTGTCTAATAGCAAAAAATAAATAAATATAAGAACAAACCTCTGTGTAGGCACAGCTAAACAGGCCTGGGGGGTGACATGATGTCTTGCTGACTCATTTTCTGACTCACGATCTGACAAGAAACTAGGAAGCACAAATACACCACCACCTTACACTGTATGCTGATGCTTTAATTTCACTTTCATAATAATGACAATTGATCAATGTCATAAATTCGTAATTTACTTCATCTGGACACAATTGGCTTTTATTTTTATCCTTATATTGCTTTGTTATTTTTCTATTTAATGTTAATTGACTTATTGAGTCTTTTAATTTCTGAGGTATCAACTTTATGTTATTGCTGGTGCTGTGTCAACACTGTTCTATTCTTATTTCTTAGACCACTCTTCAACAGCGGGACGCTGAGGTAAGGTGATCACTTTGTTTGTGTGTAGAAGCATCAAGCGTCTCTTTTGGGAATGCAATAATTTACAACCCCAGAAGGGGGTAAGGTCTGCTGCCTCAGATTGGTGGCGTAGTGGTTAAGGAAGCGGACTTAGGTCCAGAAGACCTCAGATTCAAGCTTGGCACTGTCCACACACACTGCTCCTCGAGCACTAAAAGCTGCCACTGTTCACTTGATGGGTTAAAAACAAAGGTCACATTTTGTGGTGTGCTGTGTCACAATGACAAGTAGTTCACTTTATTTCCTTATATCTTATAAGTGACAAATTGGTATGTTCTACTTCTAATTTTTCTTGTTTTTATCATCTACTAGGATTTCCACAGCTGCCAGAATGTTTGACTCCACCTGTAAAATTGATCTTAGGTCTATCTCATTTAATAATAACATCTCATTTAATAATAACAATAATAATAATAATAATTATTATTATTATTATTATTATTGTTGTTGTTGTTGTTGTTGTTAGTATTAGCAGTAGTAATACTAGTAGTAGCAGTAGAAGTAATAGTTTTTGTCTGTACTGCTTACAGGCTTGATGAACAAAAACATCTTTTTTTTCTTAGTCGTAACTGTCGTTTACGGTAACTGCCGTGACTCAATGCTCCGTTTTACTATGATTTACGGTAATACGTGTGGTACGTCATCTTGCGTGGCTTTTTAGCGGGAAATCGCCTTCGACGAGTGAAGTCTGCTGTCCGGACAGTGATTGTGACATCATTGATGCGCTGTGTGTTCCGGACTCACGTTTCCTCGGACTTTAAAGTAACTACGTAAACGTGAGTATGTCTTTACTCAGTGGTGTAAAATGATGGCATGCTGTCGCTACTGCTTTACTGTAGATATTGCAAGCACCATATAACACCAACCTTTGAACCAAAACCGTAGTCTTAAAGCAAACCACATGAGTTTGTTTTGCAGTAACGGTTAGAGAGAAGTCATTGTCATTTATTGTTACAAACATCCACTAGATGGAGCCACATCCTTGATTATTGTTCTGCAGCTTCTCAGATAGATTGAATATATGGTAGAGATATGTTTTGAAAACTCTTTTTAAAGTAGTTTGTTTGTATGTATTTGCTTGCTTGGTTTTATGTGAGTATACTATCAAATCGTTTTTATAACTTCTGTATAAAAATAATTGACTATTGTAGTTGATAAGAGCATTGTCAAGTTTGTTTTTGTGGGCAAACGCAACGGAGAAATGATTTCAAACAGCGGCATCCCAGAAGATTGCATATTGTGAATTGAGATCATCCAACATTTGAGCTGTGATTATAGAGTTTAATTGTAAAGGAATGTTGTATATAGAAATAATACAAAGCATTAAGAGCTCAGTCAGAACTACATTACAATAATTCAGATCTAATTTGATTTGAATGCCTTGAGTAGAGAAGCACGGTCCAGTTTCTAGAATAATGTCTATTTCCTACATTGACCTCATACTTAACTGACTTTGAAAACTATAACAAAACACCACATATTCACTAAGTACAAGAGTACACACTACACAAACACTTCATGACTTTAGTAACACAGAAAGTAGAATTTCTTTGTGCAATCCAAGTTCACTAAGTAGCCACTCCTCAGTGATAGGGCCCCACAGTGACTACCGGCGTCAGGGCAGTTGGGCATCGCCACGTCAACGCCGGCCTCATAACTGTTCCTGTTCCTGTCCACCCACAGCCAGCTGCCTGCTAGGTGACGCAGGCTGATCCACAGGTGCTCCATCCGTACTCCCCTGCTTGTCTGCAGAGCACGGATCAGAGTAGGTTCTGAGGTTACGCTGATCAGCTCACTGTCCTGTTGGCGACAGTTTTGCATCGCCTCCTCCCATGTTTTCTTTTCTTTCACCAATTTAAGACTACTTTCAAAACAGGAGAAATCAAATGCATCCTTATTACAGTCCTGTGCATGCCAGCCGTGTTTGTCGTGTGACACGCAACTGTTACCTTTCACTTTGCTATCATCAACGGATGTATTGACGACCGATGCAGATTCCCCTCCTGACCACTTCCAGATATCATTGGCACTTTTGTAGAGACCAATCCATACGACATGCATATCATTTGTGGCGCTGGTGATTGCGTTGAAATCCTCCGTGGTGTGAACTGAGCTGATATCGGTGAAATGTTGTCTACAATAGTCTCTGGCTTCAAACCAATTCATTTTTCTCTCTACAAGAACATGTTTCCCAAATAAGACACAGAGGGCTACCTTGAAAAGGCCCATGAGGAGGAGGAAGCTGGGAGCCATTCTCTTCATTTTAACTTCCACCCTTCCTACTTCCTACTGGGGAAATTATGCCATATAGTCGAGTTTAAATGAGAGTTTCCATGCATAAAGAGCAGCAAGTGTCCAATCACAGTGCTTCCTACACAGTGCCTTAGCGTCACTGACGTAGCTCAGTCAAATGTTCACAAAATAGGCCTCGCCTAACATTGGCGTGCCTGGAAGTGGGCACTTCTAATCTCACAGAATGCAAAAACATACAGTATATATGTATATACACACACACACACAAAACAATGTAGTTACTTTCCATCCATCCATCTATCTATGGAGTGGCCCCCAATACTAAAACTTACTGGAACCAATACTGGAAACAAAAGACATACAGTGTCCCGAGTATCAGTATATTGAAAATGCAATTCTTAAGCAAACACATGGTATTGTACATAATACTTGACTGTAAATGCAAATCAGGGATCTCTATTGCTCTACCAGCTTCACTGAAGCTGGTCATTAATGAGTGTGTTTTGAATGAGACATTTGCCTTTTCCATTATGAGTATTTAAATGTCTGCCTGTAGCACTGTTTGCTGTCATCCAGCCATTTGTCTTAGTCAAAACATGCATTTGCATGTGATTTATAAACTACAAATTTGAACTGATTTGTTTTAACCATCATTCAACTTGTATGTCGATGAGCATGTTAACAGCATTCAAGTTAATTTAATGCTTAAGATAAAAATAGTAATAGAAAAATAATGTAGTATCATCATGTGCAGATACTGTAGTTGTGTTCCCATACAAAAAAAAAAACAGCAAATAAACTGAACAGACAACACCAAGATATTGTCCAAAATCACAGTTTATGAATCAGGCACTGATACTACTGGTTAAGACAGGATTATTTACACATACAGGACATAAAAGAGGCTAGAAAATGTAAAAAAAAAAATCACCACTGACATTTGTTTTTCATATATAGACATGAGGATTAGTGTTACTATAAGAATGTTGAACCTGCTGTGTCATGTTGGATGTTCAAGGAAGTCAAATGTTTTTCAAATGAAACAGTATTTGTTCAATATAATAATAATAATAATGGACTGAAGTGAATACTGAAGGTTTTCTGACTTTTATACATTAGGAAGATCTTGTGGGAGTTGTTTAATTCCTCAGTAAACCAAAGATAATACCTGCTACTTAAACTAAGTCTTTCTTTTTCTAAAAATCTTTGGTTTTAATGAAGAAAGTTGCAAAGACTTGTTTCTTTACATTTTTTTCTTTTTTTAGTTTTTCTTTCTTTCTTTTTTTCTTTTTTTGACAGCTTGTTACTGCTTTTTTGTCTGTTTAAAAAACCTAGAAGTAAATTGACAATGAAAACAACACATTTACAGAATTACATACTGAAAAAAAAACCAAATGTGTATATGTAATTAGTATGGAACATTTTGGCTAAAAGACATAGCTCCTCTTCAACATACTGTATGTCTGACTCGTTTGACTTTTTTTTCTGTCACATATTTGGCATTGTTTCACTGATTCTGGAACAGTCACTACAAAAGTGAAGTCAGGGCAGCTAACACACGATTACACCTGTGTCACATGGACCAGTTCCAGTCCCAGACACATTGTCTGTAGGCTTAAGTTAAACACCAGCGGTGGTCAGTGGTCCCAGACTTTTCACATTAAAGGCACAGTCAGTTTTGTCATGTACTGATGACCATTCATGGTTGTTGTCCCAGGAAGTACAAGGTGAGGAGAAAAGGTCAGGATGGTGAGTTTTATATGCTGTGGTCGTGTGGTCCAATTTGTCTCAGTCTATAAGATTAAACGGAGAGAATTGTGGGTAGTGCATCCCAGTGTGTGATTGGATGAGCTGCAGGTGTTAGATGTTCTGATTCACATCTCTGTGTCTGCCACTGGGGTCTGAGAGTGTCCGTTGGTGGTGGGAGCCTGGTTGGTCCCATTATCAGGTGGAGATTCTCCGTTGGGAGTGGGCTTGTCGATGGCCTCCTGCTGGGGTAAAGGTGCCACAGACACCAGGGTGTTGGCTTGGTTTTCTTCGTCCACCTGGAAAGACTCCGCCTACAGAGGAAACATATGGCTTAGAGATCGCAGTTTATCTGGAATGGAGAGACTATCTAACATTTAATTTCCTGTTCAAAT